ACATGTCGGCGGGGCGTCTTGTGGTCTGCAGTTATCTGCGGGCTGAAAATTATAGAGGGCGGCATATTCGATTGACAGAGCGCACAGCATGACCAGGCCTACTTACTTCCAGGTCTGTGATTTTGAAATAGTCAAACCGAGTAAGAACTTTCATTTTCCTTCTTCCTTTCTCCGAGAACTTCTCTTAGGTTGGGGAGCCAAGCCTGGATGCTCAGCATACAGTATTAAGCAGAAACTGGAATTAAAAATAGACCTGAACACTTTTTTCATTTCGCCGTCTCACATTCACATGATCACTCAGAACTTGCAGTGCAACTTGCACGGCCCTCACACTAGGTGCAGGTGTCCAACAGTTATTTTCACGTAATTTTAAAGATTATGCGCATAAGTTCTGCATCAATGGAAAGCTCATAACATGATAGTTGCAATGGGTCCAGAATTAATTCTGTAGCTTCTTGCTTTTTAGTCCGAGTAACTTGGAGTTGACCTTATAATCCACCTCCAGGTCCAAGTACCTCCGTATGCTTTTGGTTTGCTTCCATTAATTTTGAATAACGATGCCTTGCGGCGATGTCCGGTCAAGAATCTAAGAATTCATTTCACTCAATATGGCTCGTACCCCGAGTCAAAATCCTCCTAATTCACCTCTAAAACTGTCCTCTAATTTAAATATCTTATGCGTCCGTCTATGGATTAAGTGAGAAGCAGAGATTCCAATAATAATATGGTTTACAGACATATGATATGGGAAGAAAAGACAAATTTCCCCTTCAAATCGGAAATGCTCTTGTCGACGAGCTTGAAGATGCCATCTGTCGTCAACTAGCGATTTGGTTGAATTATGTTGAAGTCCTGTTGATGACGTCGCAGCGCACTGGCCTACCATGTTGGCACACACGCGCTGATGACTGTTTCTTGAGCAGCATATTGTTCAGTGTACAGTTTCGATCTGGTCACAGCCACCAACTTTGCACAGCTTAGGATGGGTTACACAAGCGAGCCTTGGTGTCACCTAGCACCAGATAAGGGTATTGTACCCCTCTGTGTTGACAGGCGTTACCCACCCGTTATTGTGGCCTTGCTAGAGACCGGTATTGACTTCCCACTTACGTATAACACTGACGAAAACTTAACGTACAGTATGCACTATCTAGAAGCTCACCTGTGCACATACATATTGGTATCACCACCAGTGCATTAAAACTGACATCAACCAAGATTTTTGACGCTGATCACACTATAGCTTTACAAAACACTCAAACTCATCGGCGAGCAGAGCCCTCATCGGTAAAGTTTTATATAAATTCAAACAGAAGAAAATAAAAGATTAACCCTGGTCAGCTGATTGACCAATCTTCTCTCCCTCCCCTATTGATTATAACATTATAAACTCTAATTCAACCTTCTTGGAACGATCATGGAGGAAGGAACACATGGAACGATGAACCTTGCAAGATCCCGCATACTCTTTCAAAACAATAAAAAAACCAACTGATTAATCTTTGAACTTTGCTTGCACAAACCATTTAGGTTCCCTTGCTATTTTCTTAGCCACAAAAACACTTCTTGGTAAGAAAACACAAAAGAAGATTCTTGGTAGTGGCCAAACTCCACTCCAACCAACTTAACATGCAGAGGTGGAACAGTACGTGTGTATACACATACATGCACACATAAAATTGTGCACTGTTCGCATTGATGTACGGTAATTTCATCGACCTTCGCCATTACCCCCTCTCCATCCATCTTCCTTCGTTGCTCTCTCTCCATCGTTCTTTCATCTTCGCTCTTTTTTTCATCAATCAAAAGAAAACTATTAATCGATGTTAAAGAGTGATTGATTGAAGTAGGGACTGATCGATCAATGTAGTGAATCGATCGATCCATATAACAGAACAGTTGATGTGTAGCCTCTGGGTTTTTGCCTTTTTGGCATTCCATAGGACCTTACTATTGCCCGACCACGTCCAAATGTTAAAAAAGGCGATTTGTAGGGTCCAAGTTACTCGTCGGACTACTTGTGTTCATGAGTAACGGTTATGTTAAGGATAATTTCTAGCATGTGGGGCTAGGCCTAAGTTTCTGTCAGTTTCATTACATTACCACCACAACCACAACTTCCACAAGTGTGGCCTGGGGACTCACCTTGCTGTGCTATGAGGATTTTTTTGGGACCACACTCACGGGGCTAGAAGGAGATGTGCAACCAGTCTGTTGTCAGCAGAGGCAGAAGAAATAGCTTATACAGTTCTTTTAAATAGATCTACATGTACATCACTGTATTGTTGGGCAGAGTTATGGCCTAAGATCACCTCTACTTTTCTGAAATTTAACTGGACCATGCAACTTACCAATCACATGTTCAATATTTGCAGATCTCCCTCTGCGTAGTCCTTCTGAAGCAATCAACTACAAAGAGAGCTCAAAAAGTGCTTATGTTTTCATTTTCAGTCCAGGTGTCTGTCTCCTGTTATTTTGAAAAGATTATATTTCTATGTTTGGTTCGCTGACTTGTTAGAATAACATTATTACAATGCACGCAGGTGAAAAATGTAGAAATGACACGAGGGATGCAGGTAATAAGGACATGCTACTACAAGACCAGGAAGTTGAAAACTTGGAATTACAACTTGATGGCACTGGAATTGAAAACTCCACGGGTGCCAAATAAATGGTGTAAACTTTTTTCTCCACAGAAAACCAATTGTTCCATGTTCATCTCATCTGCAACATCCATTGAGCAACCCGTTACACGTTGGTCATCACTAGAGGGCAGCATCATCTACTATGTCTTTCATCACAGTACTTCCAACACTGCGAGAGTACTCATCAACCTATGTCCTGCTGGGAGCTCTTGGGGTCTATGTTGCTTATTACTACACGAAAGTTGTGCAGGTGAATAAAAACTCAGCAGACAGCCTCTAAAGAACTACATGTACACTATTATCTAGAAACTAGGGAAAACTCTCAAAACTCTTCTACTGTTTTATCTGTCAAAGACTGCGAAAGACTGCATTTTTAAAATAAAACAATTTTAGTTAAGAAATGAGATGGCTATTTGTGTTTTCTTCTTTTTTTTTAAAGCAGATTTCCCAAGATTTCGTACCCCATTTTATTGGTTTTAAACTTACATTTATAGCTGAGTATGTCTGAAAAAGTAAAATTAAGTGAAAATATAAATTAAATTCTAACAATGAAAGACTGAAAAAAAGAGGCAGGTTGGAAAAAGGAACTTGACATAAACAAGAAACTGTGAGTTTTATTTACGTGGCCAAAGACCCATTCCTCTTTCCCTGCAATTCCTGATGCATGGGCTAGCCACTAACAGTCAGATGACTTATCTAGTAAGCACTATGATTGGTTGATTGATGGAACAGGGCTTGACAAGTGATGCAAAATTCATGAGCATGTTGGATCAAGGACCACTAGTTAACTAGTGGTTGATTTGTGATGTACCCAGAGCATGTGCAGTGAAGTTGAAGTGCAAATGACCTTAGTCAACCGTTGTCTGGTCATTAGGCCGAAGGAGATACAGTTTTTCCGGCATTTTTCTTATAACTGGCCCTCTTTGCACTGTGCTATTGAAAATGATTTATGGTAACCAATGATGCGACCAACCTTGATAGGCTGGTCCCAAATAGTTGACTAGTCCAACCATTGTCAACTAGCCTGCATTCAATCAGGGTTAGTCAAGCTATGGTTAACTATGGTCCTTGATCAAACTTGTCTCATGTTATCTATGGCATTGTCAAGTAATACAGTCACAGCCACTCATTATGGCTTGTGTAATAACAGAACATCAGGAGTCATTAGGAGTCATTAGGAGTTTCTGAATTGACTTTGACTAGTCAAGCAGCTTGGTCCAACATCCTTATTTCCATACAAGCAGTAATCATTGAAGGGGGATTGTTTTAGTTGCCGAAAATTTGTTGAAGTGAAATTGATATAGTCTTACTGTCTTGGTTGGCACAGAAACCTCAGGTATTTGGTAAGGATGGTAAGTTTATGCAGTTCATCCAACGACACATTCCGATGTTGAGGGAGCCCTTCAGGCCAACCATGTGGTGCTTTACCTACCACTTACAGACCATTGGTCCTATACTGATGAAATTCTTCAACTCCTTGCAGTACAGAAGGTAAAATTGAAAAAACAAGTTAAGAAAATGATTCCAAAAAATGAAAGCTTTATGAAAGGTGCATTTTTTTACACTATGTTACTGTAGTATGACTTTTTTCTTCAACAAACTGATATACAGTGATCAATTTGTTGACATGCATATACATGGACATACTGGTCTTTGTTAGGATGTGAACTGAAATACTTAATCACAGAGATGATTGATTTGGGTACTATGTTTCAGAATGCTGTGGATGTATCTTACGGCGCATGAATAATTAAACATCTGAGTGTTTATGAAGCAGATCAGGATTTGGATTCAAACTGGAGATAGTTTTCTTTAACATCAATCTATCTACATTGCCAAGTTTTCCAGAAATTACTGAGGGAAGGTTTTTTTTTTTACAAAGTGAGAAGATATTATTGGCAGATGGTGGGGAGATAGTTCTAGATTGGATGGATAATGACGAAGATAACAGATACAGCAATGCAACCAGACCAACAGTTCTTTTACTTCCAGGTTTAACAGGTAGGGAACTGTTTCTAAGTGTTCCAAAAAGCGAGACAGGTGATCTAAAGCCTTTATTAATATTTACGTTTTTATTTGAAAGTAAAAATTGAAAATCTTTTAGCAATTCAATCCATACCAATTATTGCATTTGCTGATTTTAAAATGTGTTCCATTTCTTCCATCTTTATTTTCCAGGATCAAGTCAAAGTCACTATGCTGTCAATATGATTAAAGCAGCAAAGAAACATGGATATCGATGTGTTGTCTTCAACAACCGAGGTTTTGGAGGGGCTGAGATTAAGGTGAGTTCATCGTTATAATTTTAGAATACCAGTGTTTTCCTGAAACTCGATAAATATTTGGTAAATAAATCTTTTTTTAAGTTCCAAAGACAACAATTAGAGGCTAGGTACAAAGATCGCTAATTTTTGAAATGATAGACCCAAGTGTTGCATTTGATGAAATGCTTTTAAAATTAATTTTAAGAAATTTTTTCTCTCAAAATCTTAGACTCCAAGAACGTTCTGTGCTGCAAACACAGAAGATCTTGAGTTTGTGATTAAACGTATCCATAGTTCCCACCCAGATGCACCTGTCATAGCTGTAGGAGTCTCTATTGGTGGGTGAGTAATTTATTTAGGAAAATTGGGAATGGATGACAAGTTTCCCATGGGGTTGAAGTCAAAACGTGATAGAAAGGAATGCCAAACTTGGAGGTAAATCTTTGTGTGGTCCTTTTTTCTTGTTTTTTCCCCCAGCATAATTTTGTTCAACTACCTGGCTAAAGTTGGTGAGGACACCCCATTAGTTGCTGCCATGACGATTTCTGTGGCCTGGAATACCATGCTGTCAACAGAATCCCTAGAGAAACCAGTCAATTTTATCCTATTCAATCGGTTCCTTGCCAAGGAACTCACCAATGTTCTGGCCAGGTGAGCGTGCTCAAACACACAATAAAAACAAGAGCACATGACAGGTAAGGTGAGACAAAACCTGTGCATTAAAGCTTACGTACTAGAGCAATACGTACATGTATGAAGAAAGAACACTGAATTGCTGAAACACCTAACGAGAAGCAAGATTAGGTATAGACGTTTGCGGTAGCACTGTGCAAGGATCTCATTCTGAGGAGGCCTATGTGTGGTTTTGAAAAGAACCGGGGGGGTACTCAACATTTCAGACAAGCAAGCTGTCAGATATTGGGAGGTGAAAGATGTAATTGGATTGGATACTCGTGAATAACTATCAAACATTGTTTGTATATCATATTGTGGTCAATTATCTTGCTTAGGGACAGGCAGATCATCTGGTTGCTTTTCAAGTACTGTTTTAGTTAGTTGGAGGATTTGGGTTTGAGGAAAATTCCTCAAGCAAACAGGTATCAAGAATTAAGAGAGTTTACAAAAAATTACAGCTCAAGATAACATAACTTATTGTAACCAAGAAGTATTTTTTTCATTTAATGCAGAAATGTCCAGATGTTTGAAGGACATGTCGACATCGATCATGCCATGCAGGTGAGGAGGTTTAACATGTGTTACGTATACAACATTCCCAATCATTGTGGAAATCAAGCTTCATTGGATACAATTATTCATCTACGAATTGTCACAATAAGTTTGCCATAAACATTTTTTTGTTTGTAGTCGCAAACCATCAAGGAGTTTGATGAGCGATTCACTTCCAAAATGTTTGGCTATGAGACAGTGGACCATTACTACAAGGATGCATCAATACATACCAAGGTTCATCATATTGGGATACCAACGCTGTGCCTCAGTGCAGGGGATGATCCATTCGCCCCATTAGAAAGTAAGGTTTTAGAAATTACTGATGTTTTCCAGTTTCCTTTGGGGCAGGAGGCATATATCAAATAAGTGACTGTCCTGTAGGGAAGCTGTGCGTGGCTGGTTTGGATACCAACTCTTCATGTTATAATTTGATATTGCTTGTGATTGGTACCCGTCTCTTGAGCTTTTTGAAATGACAGTTTTATTTTATTTGGTACTTTCAGCGATACCCATAAGTGATGCCAAAGAGCAGAGTAACATTGCCGTGGTGGTGACATCTCATGGCGGCCATGTTGGGTTCACAGAGGGTTTCTTTCCACGAGGTAACGGTTACATGATTAGGCTGTTTGAACAGTTTGTAGACGGATTCTTCCAGCACGGAATGACGGAAGTTCTATCCAAGACTGACTAGGCTTTTGAAAGGATCTCAGGGTGCGAGTTGAACTTCAAGCCAGCAGAGATCTTACACAGCTAGACACGTGGCATTGTAGAGGGAAAAGAAGTGGGTGGGGCCAGAGTTGCGTCCAAAAGGGGTGTGTGGGTATCTTTGGGACACCCTGTTAGCCCATAGTGGATATTTGATTGATTTGAAAGCACTTTAGCAACAATTCGAGGAAATTTAGGTCATTCAATTGCCAAATGCTGTGTAAAGACTTGGTTGGGAGTATAGCTTCCGTCTACAAATGGACTTGGTCGGGAGTATAGCTTCCGTCTACAAATGGACTTGGTCGGGAGTATAGCTTCCGTCTACAAATGGACTTGGTCGGGAGTATAGCTTCCGTCTACAAATGGACTTGGACGGGAGTATAGCTTCTGTCTACAAATGCCAGTCAAGCTCTTTGTGTGTGGTGCTGGTTTAGATGAGTTAGATGCTTAGTTAGATGAAGTTACGTGAATCACTTCTACAAAAATTGTTGAAACTGTACCTCCCAAGATTTGTCATTTGGTTTTGTAATCAATTTGCTTTTAGTCTGAAAAGAATTTATAAGAAGTGCACTTTTTTGTATTGAGGTAAGAGCTGGTGTGTGAAATGAGAGTATTTTAGTTTTTAAACTTGTGTGAGTTCATAATAATTCAAACTATAACTAGTACTAAATATTTTGGGGTATATTGTAAATTTTTCTAAATTGTATTTTGTTTGTGCAATGTAGAAAATTATTTTATGACAAGATTTATACTGGCAGGGAAATATACCTGGACTGCCTCGTAGTATGCAAGCTGTCAGGTTTGCATACCACAGTTTTATACTGGCAGGGAAATATACCTGGACTGCCTCGTTGTATGCAAGCTGTCAGGTTTGCATACCACAGTTTTATACTGGCAAGGAAATATACCTGGACTGCCTCGTAGTATGCAAGCTGTCAGGTTTGCATGCCACAGTTTCTCACAGTACACTGCAGACTGAAAGATTTATTCAAATTATACCACAGCTGTGCACAGGCTGTAAAATTAATGGTACTCTTCCTGAAGAAACCACATCTCCATTTACCCTGCCTTTAGGATAAACTATACAGTTACTAATTACATCAATTGTATTATGCGATTTCATTATTTTCAGAAAGCCAGTAAAGCTTGCTTAATTAACAATGTAATAGGATGTTGACAACTTGAATATGTGCATGTGGCAGAGCTATATACATGTAATTTACATTGCAATGACTTTCGAGCTTCTTCATTGTGGTAAAAGGAAATATATTTACATTTAGGATTTTATGCACTTAGATATTTCAATATTCATGAACCAAAGCATGATCTCATTAAAGAAACAACAGGTGTGTCACACTTTTCTATATTTTCTTGCACTGAGTTCCACCGTATACTTTGTTTTCATGTTGAATTGCTTGTTTGGATGTTGCAGGGTTCCTGCACCTAAAGGACAATTAAATTCCATGACTTTTCCATGACCAAATTATGAAAATCCATGACCCAAGGATTGCAATTTTTTGAACTCCTCGGATTTTTAAAGTTGCAAATAAAATCACGCATTTTATGCACTTATTTCTGATAATAGACATCACACAGCGTTTGAAAAATTCCGTGACTTTTCCAGGCTGTCGGAACCCAGATATTAGTAGTGGCCAATATTCCTTCCAAACGTTGGTGGGTGATATTAAAGGGTTGATGTTTGTAGTGTTTTGATGCTTGTATGACATCGAACTAGCTCCCAGGTTCAGTCTTTGATGACAATATTTTCTAATTGAAAATTAAAAAAAACCTTTTCACTTCCAATGAAATCACATATTTAGATATTGTTCATATTGTTGTAACACAGTAAAATGCAGGAAAAAAGTTGAGTTGAATATCCACTGCATAGTATCTTTTAAACACTTATATTATGAAGTGGTGTAATATAACCATTAAAAGTGAAGTGTTTAATTATTCAACTGTACTCCCAAAGAAATTTAATCCATTAAAATCAGACTGTGTAGAGGGAAAACCACGTGTACGATATTTGTGTGAGTACATTTGTTGTCTGTCATATTTTAACAACTTTTATCTAAAAATACATGATAAATATTAGTCGGCAATTTTTAATACAAACGATTCACAAGACAGTGTGCTACCAAAAGTCTGCAACAGACAGGCCACTTTTCAAGTTTACGCTTGACACACTGCTGTGATTAAGCATACTTCATACATAATTTGGGGATGTTTGATTGCGGTGTTCCCTGCACCACACAAAACCACCATTTTGACTACCTATCACCCAGTCACAATAAGCAATTTTGAATTCTCAACCAAGATAAACATTTGGAAAACATTCAAGTTTTTCGCACACACTGCAGGTAGCGAATGAGACTTTGCTGACTATTTATCCCATAATGCACTGCCAAAAGGCCTTTCCATGACAACCCCTTGGTAGCACACTGCATTGTGAATCGTCCGTATCCTTTTTCTCCCGTTGCAAGAGAAAATGGAAACTAAAGGGTCCTTGTTCCTCCAAGACTGAACAAGGATGACATTCAATATAATGAAGTGGCGCCCTCTGGAGGTGCTGGCAGTGGGCCAGAGGCCATTCTAGTAGATGTCTAATGATGGAGGAACTGGAAACACCTGCTGTGCTGTGACGGGACAGAATGCTGAATCACTGATATACTGTGATTGGCCAATCCATTCCTGCTTCCTTTGTCTAATTGCCCAATCCAGTCACAATGGTAATGCACTTGTTTACGATGAATCTTGTTGCTCAAATTCACAGGTGAATGAGATAATATCTGAGCATCGTAGTAATACCTGCCTCTGCACTCCAATTGGTGTTTCCAAATTTGTAACCTGGAAGCGGAGAACATCAACATCAGACGTACCAAATGCCGCCAGCACTGACGTCCGTTCTTGCAGCTCAAAGTTTACTTTTCTTCCAGACATTGCAAAGAGGGTTTTCAGAAATCGTTCCCTGAGAAAGGCTCTGTCTTCTTGTTGCCTGGGGTCTTCTGGGTCCATTCTGAATAAAATTTGTAAAAATTAAGTTAGGAGAAAGTAAAACTGTAATATCATGCAGCAGCCGTTGTCACTCTTGAAACACATAATGCTGTACAACTTACAAGGACTTTGAAATATCAGACGGCTGTTTCTAAAATGGAGGCCAATCACACCAAGGTCGAACCATGGTCGAACCTTGGCCTACTTTCAAAAACCTCCCGACTGCCTATAGTTCATGCAGTTTACTTGTGACTACTAAAACTTAAATCTTGTGCAAACAATAAGAAATAAAACACACAGAAGCAAAACCTTATATAGCCAAGCGAAAATCGTCGACATCCAACACAAGAATCGATCGCCCTTCGACCTTCGCGCTATGATTTTTCGCTGGTAAACGGCATAATGAATTCCCGTCCATTTACAGTACGTGTGAAAATAACAGCGTACACCAGTGAAACCAAAGGTCATTTAAAGTAGATTTTACAAAACACCGCGGTAGATTGGGGCCTGTTCGTGTACTCGTACTCCGTCATGACCAATCGTTTCTGAGCCCCATTTATTTCTGCAGGGAATGGGAAATAGGTATTTTGCTCAGGATTTCAGCAAACTGTCAGACTGTTGAGTGATTATATCAAACTAAGCAAAATGGCTCAAAGTGGAGTAGGGAGTGTCGGGAAAATGGAGGAATTGAGCTTGGAAGATGGAGTGCAAACAGACGATGTGAAATTGTCATTAGTTGCTATCAATTTATTGCTGAATAATGGCTTCAAAGAATCGGAAGACATATTCAATAAATACAGGTAGGAGTATAAAATGGTTAATGGGTCACTTGAAAGTTGAGGAAGAGTTCCATGCCTGGACATAGTTTGACACCCTGTGCACATATGTTTCCTACATGCATGACATGTCCTAAGTACTAAATGCTCAATATTTTCACTGGTCAACTTCACTTTTATAAGTTTTAACATGTTTAAAAACATGTTAGGCCTAGTATCAGCCTATAACTTTCTGGTTGCTAATAAGTNTTGCAAAGGAAAATTAGTGATGTCCATATATGGAACTCTTCGGACATGTCAGAGTCTTACCACGCGGTGCATTCATCATGTTCACAAATCATTTTACCGGGGTTCATTGGTGCTGGAGATTGGTGAAATTTAAGCAAACGCAAACCTGATAATGCTAGAGTGTTCCATCCTTACATAACTGACACGCTTGGCATCATGGTCATATTTGTCCCTGATGTGGACTAGGCCTGTGGGGTAGTGCGAACATCCCGGACTCTTGCAAAATGGTGGGTAGTAACCAGTAAAACAGCAACTAAGGCGATGTACATGTGCACCAGCCAGTCAGAGGATCAGATTACACAGTCATTTCTTTGATTGTTAACGTACGCACGCATTTGTTGCAGTTGTTTTCATCGGCGCGGTGTGGTTGCTACTTGCCATTTCGCAAAACTCTGTGATGTCCGCGCTGCCCCATATTTGATTGTGCTTATTATTATTATTGTTGGTTTATTAACTCATGTGTAGTGGCCACAGGCCAAATTGTACATGATTTACAATAAAATGTTTAAAAATGAGTTGAAAAACAAGATATGACGTTTACTTGAAAACATTACATATAAGTAAAATAACTAAATTGACGCTAGAATTGATAAGAAAATGTATCTGAAAACAAAAACAAACACTTAATTTGAATGAATAAGGTTGATGTAATATGGAATTGAGCTATTCCTAAAATGAGAAGTTCTAGCAGGACTAGAGGAGATATTATTTGAATTCCGGAGGTTCCAATCGTAGCAAGCAAATCTAGACGGGGAAAACGAAGCTTTACAACGATCATTCTTCAGGAGATCCTTGGCAAAATTGAGGCAGTGCAACTCTCACATAGAGTACAGGGGTCGAGATTTAACTGTTGGAAGGACAAAATCGTAAGACAGTTTTTGCCTAATATTATCCCACAAGCTCTTTTCTGAATATTTTCAGTACTACTGCATTGATTTGCCTTCAACTTAGATGGTTAGTATTAACTTGAAGCTGCCTCGAGATGTTACCCATGTTTTTCAGAGGAGAAATTCAGGACCTGATGTACTGTTTTAAAAGTTAGGTGATCAGAATGATGCTAATCTGTATACTGTTTTTACTCTTTCTTTTGCAACTCGGTATACCTTTGTCATGTTTGTTAAATTCAACCCTAATCAGGGCTGCCCCACTACAAGACAACCTGACAGGATCTCCCAATCTATTGAAATTATTTTGTCCGTCTCTCAAAGCTTTGTATTTTCATTACATCGTTGATGATTATGGAGTCAACTTCGACTTGCAACCAGATCACTTCATTTTCACCCTCCAGGACCCACGTTTTAGAATTTGACAGAACAAAGTTCAACTGTAGTGTTAAAAAATTGTACTTAAATATTTTTATATGTGTTTTTAACTTGTACCTCAGGAAAACAAGTTTCATGTACTTTTAATACATGATGAATAAATCAAATCAATCAATCAACTTCAGCTTTGACTCTGATAATGTTTGTTCCTGATTATTGCACTTTTGTGCTGGCTGTAGGTGGTTTTAACATATTCATATATTTTTGATAGACCGATTGCACCTGCTAAGTCACGTGACCTGTAGTTGGTATTACTTATCAACAAACACGGCGTCCTCCAAAAGCAAACTGTTTCATAAGTATCATTTACCAAAAATACGGTAGGCACCGTACTCGGACTTCTGATGAGCTGGGTACTGTACCCTAACTTGGCCATATTGTTTGTAAACAACACTCAAAACACACGTTGCTATGGGATTGATACCCGCTGTAGGTCACATGATTTAGTTGGCGCAATTGATCTATTCCAATGAGCAGTCTCTCAGTTGATATTGCTTTTTTGTTCTGGTAATTACACTGTGATGTCACCTTCTCCATTTGCATTTCCTCTCTTTTTCCATCCTTTGTTTTCTCCCTTATTATCTCCCTTCTCCCATGCCCACTTTTTTTTCTTTGTAAATCTTGTTTTTTAGTGGTAAGATGACCGTTGTAGAGGTGCTGGACCCCTTTTTTCTTTTAGTGCATTTTATTTGACTTTTTAACTCTTTAGTTTTTTAGTTTTGAGTATTTTAACAATTGCATGTTTTGTAATGTTCTTATTTTTGAGGGTCAGCAGAAAGGGTGATAATAAATAAGCTAGAATTGAT